TTTTTTAATTGTACAGGATATTACCACTTAAGTTGGATACCATGGCCCAGTTTCCTCCTCCTCTAAAATCATCTATTATTTCAAAATTATCACAGACTACCTATAAAAAACAAAAGTGAATTTATTGTTTCCTAACTATTTATTTCTAAAGTTTGGCATTTATTGGCCACGGCTGGTTCAGATCAAATTATTTAAAATACATGTGTACAGTGGGTGCCGACCCAATTGGTTTTTGGCACACCTCCAATCAAAGCAAACAAACAATCAATCAATCAATATTAACCGTACACATGTCAAAGTTTTAAACGATAAGACTGGCGTTTCTTCCAAATTCTGCAGGTGCGCCAGCCTTATGCATCAATAAATCAATATTCAATTTCATCAATCGAAATTGAATTCAATCAATCAATCAATCAATGTTCAATTTAATCAATCAATATTCAATTCAATCAATCAATATTCAATTCAATCAATCAAGGTTCAATTCAATCAATCAATGTTCAATTCAATCAATCAATATTGAATTCAATCAATAAATGTTCAATTCATATCAATGTTCAATAAATCAATATTCAGTTCATTCAACTCAATGGATTTTAGTAAGCTCATGTTTAAGCCAAGCAATATTTGAATAAATCATCAATGTTCAATGTTAATTATGTATAAGTTCATTGTGTTCGATTCCAGAATTATCAACGTAATCATGTTACATCTGCACCCTGTTAACAGCGGCGCGAGTCAAGATGATTTGTGTTAAGCTAAATCCGCCAAACGTGCATAAATACTCATGTAATATGCACGCCGCCACAAAAGTGGGGGTAGCTTAACACCCTACTCGCAAATCCAGCCGTGACCGCTCCAATATATCAATCATAAAGAATACACATTATTGTTGCAGTTTATTATAGATGTAAGCCCACTTTTAAAATTTTCAAGGAACAGTTTATTACCAGACATAGAGAGGTGTATCCCGTCGGGGCGGTAATTGTCGAGACTGAGATGGATATTTGACTGCTTAATGTACCCTCCGTTATAATGGGTTAAAATATGTTTGGCAATTGCACTATTTATTCGCGCCCGACCTCTTTCGAGGTCGGGCCTCCCTTCACATTTCCAAGCAATCCTAGTTATCATTTGCGACCAAATTATCTTAGTGTTCGGGAGGAGCTTTTGAATCTTTTTCAAATCACCTTTTATTGCAACTATCAATTCAATGGTCTTCATACGGCCAAGGTCATTTGCTCCACAATGTAATACCAAAAATTTTGGTGGATCGATAAATGCAAGTAAATGTTTTAACAATTTAAGAACACCACTCCAGCACATTCCTCTTCGACCTTGCCACAGTATATTATGCCTGTCGAGATTAAGGTCAGATGTGAATCCTAACTCAATCGCAGCTAAAAATGCCCATGAAATTAATGATGAACCGATGATCCAAATATCTTGATAATGTTCTGTAACGAAAAAGATCTAATTTCAAGCTGTCATTCTATTTGACTGCCGGGATCCTAATATATAAGCGATAACAATCTGACTTCCACCTTCCTAACAATTTAATTGTTTCGTCATCAACGCCCTGAGAATGGAAGTATGTAGTAACTCGATGTGCATACAATGGGTAATGTGTTAATTAATTTGTGGAGGAGTTGAATCGTTATTGGTAACCGTGTATCTTTGGAGTGTCTTTCTCTCTTCATTCCCTCTAGCATTTTTCGAATAATAAAATGTGAAGTATAATCCGGTAATTCTGAGGTGGAAATCTTAATCTTATGCGATATAGCTGCTAGATATGTTTTGACAGTGCTAACTGCGTAACCTTTGACGGAAAGGAAAGCGACAAAGTTTGTCAATTCCTCCAGCGATGGTGGCCAAGAGTTACGGGAGTGGAACTCGGACCTGAACTTACAAAATAAATCGTAGCCGTTGTTGTATGCCGCTTTAGTATTGTCTGAGGTGGCCATGTCTATTAATCTAACGGTTTCGCTCCTGATATCAGTGAGTGAAATACCGGTGGAATCGGGGTTGGTTTTACATCTGCCTTTGGGGCTAGTTCCCGGAATTTGGTCCACTGTCGACGAGATAAAGCATCAGCAATATTATTATATAAGCCTGGGATGTGTTTGGCTTTAAATCTAAAATTATATTTCATTGAGAGATATACTAAATAACGAACGAAATGCATTACTCTTTTAGATTTTGACGTCTGTTTGTTCAAGATGAATACGAGGGCTGCGTTATCTACTCTTAATATAACATTTTTTGATCTGAAGTATTTTCCCCACAATGTCATTGCTAGAACTATTGGGACCAGCTCTAAAAAGGTAACGTCCCTCAAAGTTTCCGTTTCCCCCCATGTTGAGGGCCAAGCGAAGTGGGCCCATTTGCCGTTTAAGTACGCCCCGCACCCCAGGTTCTTACCCCCAGCACTGTCTGTATACAATTGAAGAATATCACTGCTTAACCAATCAACATCATTTAAATAGCATATGCCATTGAAGTGATTCAAGAAATTAAGCCACATGAGCAAATCGTCTTTAATGGATTTTGTAATGCGGATAAAATGATGTTGCCTTTGCACACCAATCATAGCATCATAGAAACGCCGATTGAAGGCGCGGGAAGACCGCACGGCTTTGGTGCAAAAGTTTAATTGACCTACCAGAGATTGCATCTCCTTCAAAGTGACTTTAGATTTATTTGTCATTTCTGTCAGCGAAATCTTAAGCTTAATTAGCTTATCGTTTGGAATGCGTACTTGCCCCAGACATGTGTCAATTTCCAATCCCAGATAGGTTAACTTTGTGACAGGGCCAACAGTTTTATCGATGGCAAGAGGAATTCCCAAAGCTTTACATAAATCGCCAAATTGTCTCATGAGTCGTAAGCAATCGTCGGAATTAGCTGAACCAGCAAACAAAAAGTCATCAAGAAAATGCGTAACATGCGCGAAACCAAACTGTGACCTGACGGCCCATTCCAAAAATGAAGCAAATTTCTCAAATGTAGCGCATGATATAGAACAACCAAATGGTAAACATTTGTCAATGTAGTATTTACCTTCAAATTTGAAGCCGAGTAGGCAAAAATCATTTGGTTTTATTGGTAATAGTCGAAAGGCGCTTTTTATGTCCATTTTGCCCAATAAAGCTCCTTTACCGAGCTGACTTATCATTTCGATAGCGCTGTCGAATGAAGAGTAGTGTACGGATGAAAGTTCTTTATCTATAAAGTCGTTGACGCTATTGTTATGTGGATATGACAGATGAGTAATTAAACGCCACCCCCCGCTAGATTTAGGAACGACGCCTATTGGAGACACCCTCAGGTTTGAGAGTGGTAGGTGATGGAAAGGGCCAGCCATGCGACCCATATCCACTTCACTTTGCAATATACTATGAATTTCGTTTGGGTACTGGTTTGCCGAAATTAAATTTTTACACTCCAAGTAATTACGCGGACCTAAATACTGAAGCGAAAATCCAAATTTAAACCCATTTAACAACTCATTACCTAATTTGTGGTTTGGATACGACTGTATCAATATTGAAAGTTGATTAATGTCTACTGGAGAATGACCGAGGTGCATTAGCCCCCTTGGGGTAGCGAAATCTATATTTTGGGATTTGTCCTGGGCGTGGTTGCTGATTTTGTGATTGAAAACGAAAAGGCTGCTTTTGTACAGAAGAGCGTAGAGCTGAATTGCGAGAACAAGTGAACATTGGGTGCTCAGATAAACATTTGATACAGCAATGTGCATAAATACAATAGGGTTTACTGCATGCACCCTTGTAGTTGAAATCAAAACACATGCCCTTCGACGGTTCAACTGCTTTTGGGGGATTGATTAGCGGAGAAGTTACGTATAACATCCAAAGTTCATTGTCAATTTCCCCCCATGCCAGAGAACTATTTCTTGCCTTCTTAAGCCTAAATTGTTCATCATACAATTTCCAGCCCGTGGGAGATCTATAAGAACCCAGTCTAACCGTATGCATATATTTAAGTAAACCAAGTGATTGATCGGGGTGTGCTTCAACGTAAACACTAGTAAAAACAAGAAACGCATCAGTCCATTTCCCAATGTCGGTGATTTTCCCACTTTTCCCCTGTTGAAGGACGAGTTCCCCGTCCACTAAATTGAGCTTGTTTTTCTTATCCCTTTCATCTGATGATTCCAATAAAACACCCAGATCTAAATACTCCCCATTTTGTATTTTTTCCCGTGTTTTTGGAGAGATGTTGTAACCCAATGAATCTGTTACGCTAACAATAGGTGTAGGTAAGTAAGCTGACGTACCTACTGAGCTGATAGTGGCAGCGATGTCTTCCTCATTGCTGGGCATCCCTTCACATGAACTGGTACTACTTTCTTTTACTCCCTCCTTTTGTGGGGCCTTGGTGGTAGCTGTCTCTTTTCTGGAAGACTTTTTGGCGGCTGTAACTGCAGTTGTATTTGACTTTCGTTTAGGCATCTCTCCGGAAAATTATTTGAAAAAATTTCTAAAAAGTTTGCAGCACACCCAAAAACGTGTATCTTTGGAGTATGGTTGATAATTGACTGTTTCGATACTTGGCGCAGATATTGCGCGCGCATCATTCCACGTGGTGCGCTGTGATAAATGGATTTATAACGTATTCACTGCATAAATCCGATTAATTATTTTACACAGAACTAGTATTTTGTTATCTATAGTGTACCTGCAAGACGTGCAGAAGATTTCATCGAAAGCTTGCGTAATATTTATTTAAGTGAAAAAAAAATTGAGAGAGATAGAGAGTATTCATATGATTGCAAGCAACGGACATGCTATCTTATGATTCAATGATTTATGTTTGAGTTTACTAGATAGCAGACCCAAATGCGATTACATTTCCTCAATTTTCATGTTTTTGGTTGGCCATTCTAATTCGGGTTTACATGTAAAACTTCCGAAACAGTATTTGCTAGTTTCATACCAAGACGCACCTGTAGTCCATATTTCATCAAAATTGGAGACATGTCGTTTCCAAAGTGTCTTGGTGAATGTATGTTAAGTGCATACCAAAGTACTTTGATAAACAATGATACTACAATACTTTGAAGTAATAGGAAAGTGTATTATTATACTTTGGTTTAATATGAAACTTTACTCTAGAACTTTACTCAACAAACTTTCTTTGAGCATTAGATCTTTAATTACTTCTTGTAAATGTAAATTTTACAAAGTAATATCTGCATTTAGTTAATATTTTAAAATTAGACGATTTGGAGAAATGAATTACAATAAATATGAAATTCATAGTTAGATACTTTGATTTACTATTTTTCTCAAAATTTGATTTTTTAGGTAAAATTCTCATACTTTAATTTACTATAGTAAAAACTTTGATACCATAGTAATCTATAGTTAAGTATAGTTAACACTTGTGTTCACTCAAGTTAACCCAATTACAATCTTATTTCAATTATTAATGTAGAATTCATATAGGCTAAACTGGTAATTGTCACCTGACACAACATTTTATTCAACAAAACGATATGTTTTCCCCGTAATCAATCAAATTTCTCTCACATACAACTATACAATGCTGTATTGTTGTTTTACTTTTTGTACATTTACAGATACAAATCATGCTATAGCCTTCTACGTTGTGCTGTCAAAACAGTTGAATGGTCTTCCTGACAATGCCATAGTAAGATACGACAGGGTGAAGGTAAATGTTGGGAAAGGCTATGACCCAGATACTGGTGTTTTCACTGCGAAAAAGGCCGGTGTCTATTCCTTTAGCTGGTGCTACTTGACGAAGAAATGGTATACTGCCTATGTTGGTGGATATGTTGATAAAAAGTTATATTCTCCTGCAGTAATTCACAACCAGGCCAGTACCTGGATGAGTACATGTGGGCATATGATAGTTACATTGAAGAAAGGGAACAAGGTTTCAACGAAAAATTATTCCAGGGGCAGTATTTATTTGCATGATAAATATACATATTTTTCAGGTCATAAACTGTAAATCAGTATCCTTTCTTGCTGACAAATACTGCTGTCACTAAAATAAATTTTTGACTTTACAAGAGATTGTGTTCATCTTTTTCAATCATTCAAACTGCCATTTAGCTCATACGGGAAAGCGCTCGTTCCGTGATCAGAAGATTGTGGGTTCTAATCGGCCTGCGACTGACCTAAGTCGTAAAATATAGGTAGAAACCCTTCCATTGACAAGCAATCGACACTTTGAAGTGAAAATTGCGGGTCTTTCGGATGAAACCTTAAAAACCAAAGTTCCCTGTCACGCAGCAGGCTTTTCCACAATAAAGTTCCCTCAATGCTCTGTGGCCTTGAGTGTCGAGTAAAGGTCTAAATTTGCAGCACTTCACCGATATAAGTTGACGTCTCTATATGATAGAAAAATTCTCGAATGGGAAGTAAAACAACAAGCAATCAATAAATCCATCCAACAGTGAGAAAACATGAAGACTCCACCAAAGTAAGTAAATTCAATAAAGAAATTATGTATTTTAGTTATACTAGGTAGACTTTAACAGAAAAAGAAAATCTTACCAGTACTTTGCTACTTTTTGCCAAATTGACGATTGTTTTAATTTTAATTGGTCGCCCGCGTGGCGCACTGGTTAGAACCTTTATTCTAGAGTCGCACAGGAGATTATTCTTACGTCGCGGGTTGGAATCCCACTGCTGGATGAGGAAATCGGTCCTTAGGATGAGGCCGTGTAAACCGAGGTCCTGTGTCGCAGTAGGTGCTGGCAAGAAGTAGATCCCTCACTGATCAAAAGTCGTAAGTCTAAATTAGCTGCCTTCCGACGGCTAGTATAGTTTTAACTGTTTCAACCTGAGTGAAAAATTCTCGAAGGAACGTTAAACAATCAAAGAAAAATTGGTTTTGTGGGGACGTCATTTTGTGCGTAAATCTATATTCAGAAGATTCAATGAATAAATATGTTGACAAAATAATTGTTCGTGGGGATGTACATTGATAAGGGTGACCCTAGAAATTCACGAACATTGGTCTCCCAAGAACATTGGTGATTCCACAGTACTGCATGTAAAGTCAAGTTAAAAAAAATATTTATTCTGCTCCACAAGTAATGCTATAATCGTGTGCATTTTAATTAAGAATTAGATTTCTTTTAGAAAATCAATAGCATTAGCAAAATTTGAATGAGTGACTAGGGAGGATGGACCTTAATTGTGCTTTGATTGATTGATTGATTGATTGATTGATTGATTGATTGAATGTTGTTTAACGTTCTATTCAAAAATTTTTCACTCATATAGAGACGTTACCGTATGCTGGTAAAGGTCTTCAAATTTACTCGGCACTAAGGTTCATTGAGCAGTGAGGGTTCTTTGTCGTGTCAAGGCCTACCGTGACATGGGACCTCGGTTTTTAAGGTGTCACCCGAAAGATCCAAAACTTTCACTTCTAGTGTCGGTGAAGCGACGAAAAGTGACCCCTGTAGAATATTAAAATATTGACTGAGGGTCATTTTTCTGCGTAGAAATTTGACCCCTGGTCAATATTCTACGGGTGTCACTTTTCGTCGTTACACCGGGCGCTTGGCGAAAGAACAGTCACTATCTATGATAACGTCTTAGGTTTGACGCGGCACCGAGACCGAGAATCGAACTCGGGCCTTCCGATCACGAAGCGAGCGTCCTACCACTAAGCTACCGTGACTGATTAATTATGCTTTGGAGGACAATAACTTAATGGAGACATTTACACTTTATTTTTTACTAAGTGTATGGGTATTTGAGACATACAGTACCGACCAGACAAAACATGGCACCCAAGCAGTCCAAGAAACACTCCCCGGGACTACTCTAGGACAGCTGTGGGACTGCTATGGGACTGCTCTGGGTCGCTGCGGGACTATTCTAGAAAGCAAACCCAGCAGTCCCTGGAACTGCTTTGTTCACCCGTGCGTGAAAATAATTCTGAGTGACAAGAAAGCTCAGACCCTGTATTCCGAATTTGTAGGTTTCATTTTGTACAGTGGTTTGTTTACTTTCAGCAGAGAATTTGTAAAAGAAGAAACAACGAGGATTTTCCAAATATTTAACAAGTACGGTTAGTTACTGAAGAAATATAGGATACTAATATACGTCAACCGCCGATTTCGCACAATGTGTAAAATCAATTAGAAAAATTAATTAAATGTCGGTAATAATAAAAAGTTGTTTTGCCAGTTAAAAGAAACGGAAGTCGTAAAAAGTTTGTGTTTTTTTTTTAATTCGTGTATTTAACATAAAAAACAGGTGTTTATAAAACTAAGCAATTTATTTAATCAATTAAAGCTGTTAAATTATATACTCAAAGTTTACATTTTTGTATGTCCTAAAGAATTAAACAATTACTTCCTTAAAGATTTAAAAGATATGCAAAACTACATGCTGCACCGGAAAGTGATTATTTTTAAACTGTAAAGGATGATAAATGTATCACGGAAAAAAACATTCAATGCCGTTTTTTACCGCTAAAAAATAAACCTCATAATTAATTCAAATAAAGACAATCTTTTTCTATGAAATAAATTTATCTGACATTCTCCCGTCATATTCACAACGTGAGCAATAATTCGTTGATTTTTTCCCAGATTAATTTATAACTTATAATTAAGTTTACAAAAAATATATAATTATATTTTTAAATAAATATGGTCGAAAATACCGAATTTTGTGTTTTTATTTCTTATTTCTTTTGTGTACGTTTGAGGAAAAACAACATACACTTAACAACTGCACTGTCCGGCCGATTAAATGCCATATACAGTCTATATTTTATGTACATACCTCGCTAAGGTATCAGTCGCCTTCGGGCATGAATAGCAGACAGTCCACGTTTTTTATTTGGGTATCAATGTTACACATCACTGACCATGCTGATCAACAATGGCATTCATTTCGTTCTTCAGACAGCAAATATCCTTGTTTGAATAAATAAAGTATAAATGTATTTCAGGATTATTTAATTTTTAAAATAGCTGAGATTCTCACTTGCATGATTTACATGTACATGCACACCGATGTAACGGCTCAGGAAATATTTTAGTGATATTGTTTTACGGTACGTAATGATTCTAACAAAAATTAAATCGACAAGTCAATGAAAATTATAGGCAGAATATATTAGTCGGCAAAATTTGATAAAGAATTAACTGTCAGTAGATTCATAGTATATTTTCTCAAGCTTCAACGTCAATGAAAAACATATTTGGAGTAATATGGGAATCGGCCTTGCTCTATAATTGTAGGATCTATAAGATTCTAGTCTAAAAATAAACCATTTATTTAATAAGCACTTGCAAACATTGTATGATTAATTTTCCATAAAAGAGTATACGGTAACCATTATCAAGAAATCAAATTTAATAGCCAAATTGGTTTACTTTGGTGTCAAATTAATATGCTATAGATGTAATTACATGTATTTAGTGTTAAAGTTTCTTTTCTTCTATCATAATTATTATTATTTTTTTGTTTATATACGGTAATCTTATTACTTAATCAGAAATAATTGTCACATAAGAATTGTGAAAATGTTGTACATGTAATATGTCTACTATAACACTTTTTCTCCTAAATAAACGATATCATTAATTTCAACTGCCTTTATATTACTGACATTGTTTGTAAATTCAATGTCCAAATAGTTATGACTAATCTACGCCCATTACATTATCAACCCTGCCTACTGGGACTGGTGGGACTGCTTTCTGGGACCGTTGGGACTGCTGAAACCGCTTTGGGACTGCTCTGAGACCAGTGTGGGACTGCTCTGGGACCACTCTGGGACTGCTCTCGGACTGCTCTAGAAGTCCCAGAAAGCAGTCCCTGGGACTGCCTTTTGTCAGGTTGGGTATGGTTGGTACTGTACATATTTCAAACTTTCTCTGTGGTGATTTAAATTCTCTCATTTCTGGGAGAAACATTCACAATTTAATTTAAATTCAATTTTGTTCTCACATTTATTTAAAAAAAACAACATGAAGAAAATACAAAAACGATATCAAACATTATACAAGAGTGTACAATTTACATTAAATTTGGAAGGGTATATCTCTTTTTGGGTAAATTAATCAATTTACTGAGGTTATCGATGACAGATACTTTTGAAGGCCACAGCGTTTTCTTCCTCTCCTGTATAGTTGAATAAATTCTTCTTCATAGGAATATAAAAACAGGCTAAACGGCTAATAAAGGAGCACAATTATTGCCCATCAAAATTTAGTTTGTTGGAAGGCCTGGTCTCCGAGTACTATATAGATATTGTCCATGAAGAGCTCCATTATTCTTTCAAAATCAACTTTGGAGTACTTTTGCGCAGAGTGATTTTCAAAAAAGTTATTATGTTGCTGAACAATTTTAAGATACGAAATTTTCTGAATTCATTTTTTCGCAGAAGCAGCTGTCTATTCTAATTAAAAGTTTATTTTTTAATTTATCGCGAGGAATGCTTGTATAAAGTGTAGAAAAGTCGCACGTTTTGATGTTATTGATTCATGAAAATATATAAGTATTAAAGATAGGGCTTGGTAGAGCACTTGCTTATCCGCAAATTCTCTTTGTAAATAAGGATGTATATGAAGCTTGGGAATCTAGTATAGGTAGCGTACATCGAACTCACCTTGGTTGACTGGAATGCTAAAGGTATTAAACTCTGAAATGTTATTTTGAAGAATCTCATCTTTAGACAGTGACCTTTGAGTATAATTTGGATTTCACAAAAGTTGAATAAACCAGGCTCCTCTCAAATACAGTTATAAAAATTAGCCTTGCAAACAAGACGATAGTGTTACAGACCTTGTCTGCCCGAGTCAAACCATAGTTAATGCAGGTTTTTTTCTTATTCTTTTATCAAATCATATTTAGTGAAAACGGAATGATAGACAGTTTGCATATTGCCTTTTAGCTTTCTAATACGATTATTTAATATATTTCTAAAATACTTTATCTGACAAAATCTGGCAGAATCTTCGACATTATAGAAATGAATTTCTGAAGCCTATTAAAAGATTGGGGCCCCATGCATTTAGGAGTTTTTAAGATGATTGCTTTTATTTTAATTTGTTTATAATTTAATAAAAGATTGGAAGCTTAAGCTTCTATGAATTGCCTATTCAAAAAAAAAAAAAAAAAAAAAAAAAAAAAAAAAAAAAAAAAAAAAAAAAATTTAAGGGTTGTACGCTGGAAGGATGTGAGGAATTAAAGAGTTTTTATCACGTATCTAAATTTCTTTAAAATAAAAGACTATTATATTCTTGAAACCTATAATTATCGTTTAATTCTGAAATATTGTTGAAAACGGCCGTAATTATACGATAAAACGTCCGTAATATAGGGTCCTCGGAGTAAAAATTCTCGACTAATTAGATAGGGGTCACGTGCACGTGGTACTGAAACGACATAGGTGTCAATGGTCAATCAAACTCGTACAGCTTATCGTAAGAAAAAATATATTGAATAGCTATTTACGCTAAATAAATAGAATACACAATACAGCCGGTTGAAAATTTGACATCGACTATATTCCTTTGGTTATGGACGGTCAATCTTTTATGTATGAACGTCTTGCTTTACAGTTAAATTGATAAAACTGTATAAATTTATAAAAGATATCTGTGAGAGAGTTGGCTTTCCTGGTTAGGTCATTGTTAGCTTTTTGACTTTGTACTTTTTCTGTTTCATGCATGCACATATGTTTAATTATATCTGTAATCTGTCTCTACACTGTACTTAATGTCAGTTTATTAGAATAAATTCATTGTCATTGCAGAGAGAAATAACCAGAAAATATGCCGACAATTGGAGAGGTCACCGAAGACGAAGCCGTTGATAACTCGGGACTTCGACTAAATAGAACGAAAGACTAAAGTTTAACTTCATAAACATTTATAAATATGGGAATTTTAAATTCTCCTTCATTATTATTTTAATTATTTTAGGAATGACTCTAATTCTTGGCCAAATTATTCGCGTATAACCTGGTTTGGGTGAGTTTACGCTTTATAATCCGCGATAATTTAATTTTAAAATCATCAAATAACTATGGGTGTAAAATTTCGTTGCTTTTTATTAGTTCAAATTTGCCGCTCAATAATACAACCGTAGTAACGGAAGTACCGGAAGTGATGGGAAGCGAGGGGAGGTAAAAACTGATACATAGGCCTAACAGCCTTGTTGTTTGTTTACACGTGGTAAGATCGAATTATTGTTTGGTACATTCATTAAATCTGGAATTTTCCATGAATCCCGAGGACTGGAAATGAGAGGATTGTATGGATACAGATGATTTAGCTGGTTGTCAGGGGGGTGTGTCCCCATACCAAACCAGGTTATACAGAAATAATTTGTGTTCCTTTTTGGATATTAACCAATCAGAGGTTAGAATACAAACAAAATTAAATTATATATAAATAAATCCTGATATATTCTATCTGTTCTAGCAGTGAATATCATGTATTAGAAATGACACTACTTCAATGGCGCCATACGCCATTAAGAAATTCACAGCATTCCGACTAAACTCTGTGCGACTTTTAAAAATGCGTGTTTGTCATTTATTATTTTTTAAGGTATCCTTCCTTAAAATATTTTATAGGACAGAAAAAATAAATCGTGATCGATCGGGCATAAACGATTTGCAGAAAAGGGCCTCCCTTTCATCTCTCGACCAAGTCCTGGAAATGTGAAAAAAAAAAATCTTCCTAAAACCTTTCTTGTGCACATGTGTGCATCCTAACGCCATGAATTTTACCTTACTAGCTGTCAATTATCCAATTATCAATTAATTATTTTCTAACAGGTTTAATAGACACACAACAAATGAGCCCTTTTGTATACACAAAAAGTACTTCGCTTGACCAGGATTAACACCTATGACGTCAGAGCAATGGCGCGTAACATCGGCGATCAAAATATGCATATTGAAAAATTCAAACTTTGA